TTGCCAACGAAAACCGCAAAACAACTATACATAGAACAAACCATCATTTCTGTCTAATTAGCAAATACTGTGCAAGCTGTACTAGTATACTGAAGCAATAATTAATCGCAATTGATAATTTATTTTGAAAAATTATGAAGTATTATTAAATAATAAGGAAACAGCAAAAGGATTATAAATTTAAATGTAAAAGATACATATTGAAAAAATATATTTGAACTGCATCATATTTAGTACACTATTTTCAAAAAAATAAAACAATGTCATTTACATACTCATATCGTTTCATCACGTATTCTTGACTTTTTTAAGTTTCCTTTCATCGATTTTTGTATGCATTGTATTTTTTTGAAGAACTTTAATTTTAGGATGTGGATGAAAAACTGAGCATAAATATAAATACCAGCAGCAAGTTGTGTAAAATAATATTTGAAGTATCTGAAATATTTAACTTATTCGGTAACATAGAAGAAAAATCCTCAATGATGCTATTTTGTCCTTTCTCAAAAATTCATTAAAAAATATACTTCTCCATCTTAGTTCTTTTTTCCTCCCTGCTCATCCTCTGAGGGGTTGGACTTTTCAGATAAGTATTTTGGACAACCAGAAAAACTGCATGGGTAAGCATCGTTATTTAATTTAGGATGCCCTCTGCACATCTGAATAAAAGTACCTTCGTTTGTTGGTAAATAATCATAGCGAATAATATCAGCTTTTCGAAAATGTTTTTCACACACTACGCTGCGATCACTTGGAATAAAAATTTTCCTTGGAATTTTTTTGATCCATAAATCTCGTTTTACCGTATCTTTTTGAAATTTGAATACTTATTCATTGGTGAAATCGTAATTGGATTTGCATGCTGGAACGCAACATCTTGCAGGTATGATGAAGACAGCTCTACATAGACGTCGATCGTTATTCTTGTTAACAAATAAGTTAACTAGTAATCTCAATTTAAAAACGAAAATATCCTTAACAACATTACTTAAATTTAGCAATAAAAAAGACACGAATAATAAAAACTTGCAGTGTCCACACAATGCAGTGCGAAGGGTGAAAATTCAGACGCCTTACGTGACGTCAAATCACGTGGTTCTGCAGCTGACCAGGCCATCTAATCTCGAAGGCCACGGCTGACCAGGGACCCTTGCGGGACGCCAGCATAGATGCGCCTCTCAGTAGAATACGTGTTTTTGTAGCGAACGACAAAGTGTCTCTCATAGAGATAAGATTTAGTGATGTGAATGATGTATCTTGGGAAACCGAAGTTTATGAGTTTGTAGATTAAGCCGTCTAGCCAGACTCTATCGAAAGCTTTCGATATATCGAGGAAAAGTGCACCAGTATTCTCTTTCTTATTCAGACCTTCTGCAAATTATTCCGTTACTCTATACAATTGATGGGTTGTGGCATGCTTTCGTCTAAAACCGTGCTGTTGAGGTATAAGCATGCTCTTTTCGTTAATATGCTCCAATATTCTATCATAGATGACTGCTTCCGCAATTTTGCTCAACGTAGAGAGAAGACTTATTGGTCTGTATGATGCTGGTTCGTTGGCCGGCTTTGAAGGTTTTGGTATAGGAACAATAACTGCAGTTTTCCAGGCTTTTGGAAAGTAATTGAGTGTTAGCATTTGATTGATGATATTAGTGAATTTAAACAGCATCACATGCCTTATCTGTCGAATCACCTTCGTGCTTACACCATATCGTCCAGGGCTTTTTCTAACTTTCCTTTTTTCAATATATCTAATAACCTCCGAAGGTCTAGCTAGACGAATGTTGTCTGCGTTTGTTTTTGAAAAATATTGATTATTCGTGAAGCTAACTGTGTGTTCTGCGTCTGGGTTAGCAATGTTGTGAGTGCAAAACTGAGATGCATAGTTATCAGCTAGTAACTCAGCTTTGTCAGTTTTGGTGTAAACGATTCCGTTGCGGCCATTAAGAGGCGGAATACTTGTGTAGCATCTCTTATATTTGGACACTGCTTTCCAGATTGAATGATCATCAGTGGAGAGAGAATCCAAATAATTAGACCAGTCTCGTTATGCATGTAAATTAGTAAGGGACCTGACTTCCTGATTGAGCTGATTTAGTAACCTTTTGTCATCAGGACAACGTGAGCGTTGCCATTCTTTCCGTGCTCTGTTACGTCTTTCGATCAATGTCTTAATTTCAGGATTTCGTGAGCGTTTGCAGACAGGAACCTCTTTGCTATGATCAGATAGAGCATTTTTAAGGGTATTGGTAAATTCATCAACCAGAGCATCTAACTCATCCTCACTTTGGCCTGTGGGTAAAGTGTACTGTGTGTTGTTCAAAGCTTCGGCGTAATTCGCCCAGTTATAATTTTGGTGGGGGCCTAATTTAACTTCTTGTAAGAAGACTGCGTCAGGACTGTACTCCTGTATAAAATCCCTGAGTTCATTATATCTCTGGGGTAAGCCATTTGCGTTCCATGTAACAATGCTTAAATTTTCACAATTTTGCAAACTAGCCATTAATTTCATTGAGCATTGAAGTACACAAACAATCTATCAATGTTATCAGTATGGGTTTTAAATTTAGGAACATATTTTTTAAAAATTTGAATCATTTTTCCTATATTAGCCTGTCCAAATATACTCTGAATTTCTTTCATATATCTTAGGAATTCAAACATATCTGAGCCCCTAGTGCTCTTATTACTAGAATTAAACATGTTATTATTATTACTATTTACATTTTTATTTACATTTCTATTTTCAGCCTGTGGCAATTCAGCAATGAGGGCATTTTCTGGACATGTGTCCCCACTAGCTGCACTATTAGGCTTATTTGTTGGATTCAAAGCCTGAGCAAAACTAAAACCAAGTTTCACATGGTTTTTCTTGGTGATTGCAGGTTTGTACTTAGGAAATTTCGGGCAACCACGATACGACGATGGGTGCTGGCCTAGGCAGTTCGCACACTTGGGATTGCCTGTGCGACCTTTTATTGGACATTCGACAGTTCTGTGTTTCTCAGCGAATTTAACACATCTAGGTTCAAAGAAACAATTCTCCGAGGAATGATGCAATTTCTGGCACTGAGGTACCTGATTTTTTTAGATATATTTTGAAACTGCCACGGATAATAGCATAAGCTCCTTCAGCTTATATATATCTTCAATATTCTCAAACTGGATGAGTGTCAGCAAGAATAAGGGCATGGGCACTCCAGTCCTGCGTCTAGTTAGCTGCGCTACCTTTTGTACAACGAATCCTTTTTCAGTGACTGCCTGGCTATTTCCTGAGTATTGGCATTAGATGGTAAGCCCCTGATGACTACTTAACAGGTCTCTTATACTTTTTTCGTTATAATATAGTGCTCGACTTTTTCTTCTTTAATTAGTGCAGTAAGTGTTCGATGATCCTCAGGAGTTTGGGGAAAAACTTTTAAAAATTCCCCATTAATCTTCCCTAAAAATTTTGCTTGCGTTCTTAGTGCAAGTTTCTTTAAGAATTCGCCAAAAGAGAGCTCTCCTGGGTTGACCATTGTGGGCAGAACTTTTGGTACCTGGGGGGAACTGTTAACTTGCTGAATTACCACGTCCTGAGGGGAAGTGCCAGCAGTATTAGAGGAATCATCATTTTCATTTTCACTTAAGGCAGAAAATTTATTTTTTACTTCTAGTACATTTTTCATTTTTTCCATTCTAATTTGTTTACTCGTTTTACGAGGTAATCGAAATCCATCGTTAACATTTAAATCAAATATAATTTCATTAACAGATTTACGTTTAAGATTTTACAGTGTTATTACTACAAGGGGAAATATTTCACTTAGCTATGCCTGCCGAAATAGTTAAACCGCACTTGCCTCTCAAATCGTCGGCTTCCTTCCCGAGTTGCTGTATTAACTTGGCCATAGGTTCAGTCATGATATCCACATCCGTCACAAATATTCTTTGGTGGTAAGCTTTAACAGCCGATTTAATGTGGTCAATTTGGGCCTCCAAATCCACTATCCGGGAACGCATAAAATTCTGATTGATCGCATCATCCTGAGCAGTTAAGTCGGCGACTCCATCGCTAGTGTTAGTCGTAATATCATCCGCAGGGACACGATCGTCCATACGGTTATCATCGTTGCCTGATGGCAAAACAGCTTCGGTGGACTCGCTCATGACGAGAACCTACATCCACGAGTGATCAGGACCAAATGATGGTCAGCAGCGACGTACGTGCTAGAATAATTCCGTTTTTCGATTGTTCAGTCGATGAGTATTCAAGATCTAGATTCATGTTCGCTGCGGAATTTCAACGACATATGTGGCAACAAAAAACACATGACATCTATAGCACGAGTTAATACTATTAATAAGTAAAATTACGTAAATTTAGGATAAGTTAAAAAGAAAAAAATACAATACTTTTCTTTAATTGTCTTTACCAAAAATGCGTATAATGTACTGACCTACTTTAAATATTAAGATATATTTTTCTAAGGGTGGGATGGGGTTCCATGAAGGAACCTTACATTTCTAAGTGTTTCGTGAGTAGACAAAGTTTGAAGATCACTAGTTTAAATCATAACCTTTCAGCTAAGAAACCTTTTGACGTATGGTGAATCTGAAAAACAACGAGAAATTCAGTAATTGTACATAATAATAATTGTAATTAACTTTTAATACTTTAATAATTACTATTAATAACTTTTGAAAAATGGGGCAACGCTAAACGTTCTTTCTGTTCACTAATCGATTTTTCTATCATTTTTTTGTGACACGATTCACCTTTTTTCCCCCTTCCTTATCATATCGTACTATATATAGCGAAACAAATCTTCAGTTCCTCGAAATTCATTACAACGAGCTTCGACTGTGTCCAGTCCTTCTAAATTTTAGCAACGATTTTACTTCAAATCACGTAAATGAATTTTGTCGCATAACTAATTGACTTTATAGAGATATATAACAAAAAGTAATAGAGATAAAAAATATATCACGTATTCTTTATTCTTGTTTTGCGTTCACAGGGTTTGAGATTTTCACTGTTGGGATTGGAAGAGGCATTAACCGGCAGCTGCTTTCGGATATAGCTTCAAAACCCCCACTCAGTCACGTCTTTATCCTTGATAAATATAGCGACCTGCAGGCTATAATGAAGATCATTAAAAATCGTCCACCAGAAGGTAAGATTCTGAAATAAAGGTAAGAATTGATCTATAGTAGGTGCCGCTTAATATAATCACGTTTGTTCATGACTATTTTGATAACATTAACTGAATGATTACATCAATCGATAAAAAATATATTTCAATATATCAGCTGAATTTAACTATTTAAATATAACGAGGTATACGAGGTATGTCTAACGAATATAATTAATATTCAAAGGACACACCTCGTCTCAAGATTTGTAGGAAATTCGCCAGCTTCATCATTTTCTTCCTCAGAAAGTTTATCACATGAAGTTCTTCGATTTAATTCAGAAAACGGCTAGCAGGAATCTTCATCTGTCATTGATGCTGCCAACTTGATTTTTTTCAAATATTTTCCGTCGAAAAATTTTTTAGATATTTAGCAACAAAAAAGCAAAGTTCTCTAAGATTCTGATCCTTTATTCGCTAGTTCTGACTGATCTAATTGATATTATAAAAACTTGGTAAACGAGCTCCTTTACACATAGTACTCTTAAATCAAAAGCAAACTTCTCAGCGACTTAATCCCTTATTTGCGACACGTTTCCGCCAATTTCTGTAGTCCATTTTGACCTTTCTTTGGAGGTTTCATCTTTTATTTGACAACTTTACTCCAATTTTTTAAAAAAATCATTCTGCAATATTTTTATAACATTAACCGAATTATTGATCACAATAAGCTATGTATTTTCTATCTTTTCGTATACAAACGTGCGGGCCTTAGCCAACTCGATTGCAATTTCCGATTGATAACATTAACCACGAACACATTAAGCGGGCGACTACTGTATCCCCAACGGACATCAATCGAAGGAAAAATAAATTAATTACTTTATCTTTCAAATATTTTGCTACATTTATTTTTCAGGATGATTACTAGAAATAACTTTTTTCCAAAGTGCTAAGAATAATTCTTCTCAATCAAAGATAATGGTGGTTACTTAGGCCTAATGCAGAAGAAGGCTTTATGGTTTAAGACATAAAAGTCACCAAATCCCTTCACACATGTTTAACAGGACTTAAGCCGTAGCCAGTGGGAGGAATGTAAAGTTACACATGCGTAAATGTGTAGCTGATTCAGAGAAACCGTCGACAGCGTTCATGTTTGCTTCGCTGTGACTGGTCAGTTCTTATACCAAGTTGGCATAATGGTATAGCGTTCGAGAAGTTAGAACTTTAGGCGAAGTTCTTAAACGAATTTTTATGACGTAGAGAGCTCTGGTTTTCTACCAACAAATCTTGGATAATACCTATTACAATAAAAATAATCATGTAAACAGTGCCTTACAGCTAATTTTATCAACTTTTAATGATAATTATTCCATTGCGATTTTATAACGAAAGCTGGAATACTGGAAAAATTTGTTGTTGCACGTGTTAAAGTACATCGTTAAATAAGCAAGTCTGCTGGCAAAGTTTTATATTTAATTCCAAAATCTAAATTATACTAAAATATATTATTTAAAACAAATGTGATAAAAATAGGGAAACGGGTATCAAAGAGCTACATGTAAAAGTTTTGCAATTGCGGAAAATTTAATTATGTACCACTTAATTCTTTACTGATCTCTCGCGTAAATAAGCATTAATATCTGCTTCTGTACTGAAACTGTAGAGAATTTGCAAGTAGTTTTAAAGCTGAGAAAAAGTTGACATTTTAAATCTTCTATTAACTATTAGATACCAGCAATATTTTTCATTAAGGAACCTTTAGATGTGTTAACTTGTTAGTTAACACATCTAAACTTGTTAGTGATGCATATTATAATATACAGGGTGTCTCAAAACATATAGCGAAAAACTTTTAGGGGAAGTAGGGCACATAATAAGGATTGAGAACTGCATAGCAGCTCATGGTGCGAAACGTCATCGTACGCCTCTGTACAAAAATGCGGTAGGGAAAAGTGAAGATTTCCTCATTCAATCGGTAGCCAACATACTAAGCGCATGCAACGGTGTACGAACAATGAGCTTGCAGATATGCACTTAGTGTATGGAATAACTGACGTCAATGTATAAACCGCTGAACGAATTTATCGAGAAAATCTCATCCGCACCACACCACCAGACATCAACCGCACCACAGTGTTTTTGCAAGTTTGCATGGAAATTTGTGCGAGTACGGGTCATTAAGAACCTCTCCAATAGCTACAATTGAGACTTCTGCACTCAAAGGAAACGCAGAATATTACCTGTTCTTCTGCCGTCTTACAAGTGACCTGCATATTCGGAAATCCACCAAGCTATACCTTAACATTAAAACACTGGTGATATCTCAACGTCACCTGTTTCTAAAAAGCTTGAAAATACACCAAAAGCTCAGTACTCTAGAACTGGACCTATGCCAAGTAACACCTTAGGGTCGAAAAGAAAAAAGCAGAAAGAGCAATGACTAGGTTGCAGCCCAATAATTGATTCTGAACATCAACAATTTCCATAATGCTTCGAAACACCAAACATCCTGAACATTTCCCATGAACATTATTTATGAACTTGAAAGATATGAGATCAGTACAGTCTTACCCTCACATAACAAGAACCAGACATTCCAATATATTAGCAAAATAAAATCTCGTATGTTTTAGCTATCTACATAAAAATACAAAAATTCCAGTGCAACGATCTCCAAAATATCAACTGTATTTACGTTGTAGGGGTTTCCTTATTTTGCATAACACGTTTAATTACCTTTCCTGAACCTCCCATTTTTCCCTCGCATTTCCTCTCCCGGATGAAAATTTAAAGCTGAGTGAAGTGAGTATAAAGTCAGACGAATCTTGAAGTTCATTCAGAGCGTGATTTCGCTAGCCACCACATGTTACTAGTTTGTCCTTGATATGCTGAGTTTTTGATACGCCTTTTTGGCTATTTATTGACTATTTAATAAGTATGCTGAATCAGCCTAGTTATCCTTAAATTAAATTGTTAGTCCAGCACCACTCTTTATCTTTGAAATTATTGTGTAACCATTCTTAAACTCCACCGCAAGTCGTCGATGTTATTGTAAGTACGAAGTTTGTGCATTTGTGTTCAGAGTTTTACGAATAATTAAAGGGTTATTTTACCCATCTTCTGTGCTGGTATTCTTTTACGCTTGAGCGAAAAGTCGCCAGGTTCCTTAGTGAGATCTAACAAGGTTTATGATAACAAAAAGTATCAGATCCTACAACCTAATCGAGTATTGTAATTAATGAGTATACTCAATAGTTTGTGTTAAGTTATGTAATTTTACCTAATTTTACGTTATTATCTTCTTATGTTTAAATGTAATCATTCCGATGTATAACCACCGTTCCTTGGGAGAAAAAACATACACTTAATTCCACTTTTTCGTACTCTAGTTGATGAATATATTTGGGCAATAAGTGCTCGATTCTGTAGTAAAATCTCTGGTTCCTCATGCACTTTTACCTGTTTATCTGAAGAGCGTTTCGTTGCAGTGTGTTTTAAATGCTGAAGTCCTTACACGCCTTTCATCTTCAACGGGTTCAGCTCTCCGATGAGCATCCTGAACGTGTGCATTTCGCATAGTAGTATCTGCAACAAAGTGTCCGAGATGTGAATTTTCCAGCTTATTTGGTGTTTACATATGAGGGCACATTCAATAGGGAGGGCGCATTCAATCAGCAGAATGAGCATTTGTATGCTCAAGAGAACCCAACCGGTCTGCGGCACAACTCAGCACAACATCGCATTGCACTAAATGTAAGAACAGGTTTGGTCAGCGACTACTTAGTCGGGCCGTACTTTATCAGATCTGTCTGGAGCAAGTTCTTCCCGGCTTTCTTACTTGACGATGTTCCAGTAAATGAAAGGCTCAACATGTGGTTCCAAAATGACGGGGAAACTGCCCATTTTGAACTGGTTGTTTGTAGGCATTTGAATAGGTTATTCTTGCATTCAATGGATTGGTCGTGGTGGACCGATTATCCAACGCTCACCTGATATTTTAAGGTTTTATCACCTTGACTTCTTTCTGTGGGCGAGCCCTCAAAGCTGTCATGTATCACGATCCTCCCGGTGTATTCGATCGTGCCTGGCAAACAATGTTCCGTCGTTGTTAGGCACGCTTAGTGTCTGATGATGCAAACTTTGAGCATCTGTGTTGTAACATTAGAGCTGTATTCATCTCATACGCCATTTGTATTCACGGCGTCTAATAAATGTTTCAAATTAATCACTCTCTTGTGTCCTTTATGATCTTCTACCTGTGCTACCACTTACTCCTGACGTTTCCGATCATGGGCTGTATGTAATTCTCAATCCTTATGCTATACCTTACCTCCCCTAAAAGTTTGTCGCTACATGTTTGAGACACCTTGTATAAGGGTTACTTATAATAGCATACACTGGAAAATATTTCATATATTATGAGCAAACATTCCTAAACCTACAAGCGTGATAAATATCAACGTCATTTTTTCTTTAATCTGTATATAAATAGCCAATATTTAGGCGTGAAATCATTTCATAATTTTGTTAGTGTTTTTGTTAAATTGAATATAATTGAATCAGCATATCTTTTATGTTCCTATTCTAAAATAACAACAATCTTATTTAGAGCTGATCACCAATTTAATGCAGGTATAACATCTGATCTTTGGCAGTTGTTAAATTTCTTTTGTAAAGTTAGGTTCAATGTTTAAAAATATTAAGCTATTCTTAAAATTTTCGTCGACTTACCCTTAAAAATATTTCGCTAATTTGGGATTGAACTTTAGTTCGAGCGAAGATTTCATTGTTCCGAAAGTCACAACAAAATTTGAGGAAAATGTCCTGCTACTCCTCTACTTCATTTGCATTAAATTTATGGTAAACAACATTTATCTTAATATGAAATTGCATTTAAAATTTAAAATGCTCATATACATTTTTCACCAGAGGTGCTATTAGTTTCGATCTTCACACTTTTATTTGTACCACTTTTCAAATAAAAGTATATTGCCAAAAAAATGCTATAACTATGCATTACTTTTAACGAAATAATATATGAATATACATTCCCCTCCAAAAGTTAAGGAACAGCATGCTTTTTTGTGTCTAATTTGAGAATGAAGTAACATAGAAACAAGAATTTTAGAGGACATGTTCATTAAACAGTTCTTTAATGAATGTGACATAGAATGTTTCTAAAGTTCAACACAAACATGAATTACAACAAAAAATTTCATTCTTGGCAGAGAAATCCAGTCTTGGAGAAACAGTGCATCGTAGCTCTTTGAGGAAAAATGTGGTGGTAACATTATAAAAAATGGGCTCTAATAAGGAATATTACAAGGTATTTCTCCCACGTTCTTGGCATGCCTTCGTGGTGTGGTGGTCTGCACACTGGGCGCGTATTCAAGAGGTTCGCGGTTCGATTCCCGGCGAAGGCGTAGCATATCTTTCATCTTTCTTGCTTCTCAAAATACCTAATGACTCTACAATGTTTCCTTCCATAGCTGCAATACATTAGCGGCAGCTTAATTCCATGCTGTCAATTAAGTTGTTAGTCCGTGAAATGGAAAGCAATGATCAGGCACGGAGTAATCCTTGTTCAAGCTCAACCAACGACCTTGAAGGAGAACTTAAAGCAACAACCTGTCTCCCAAGGTAGTTCCAAAGATGCTCAATCGGATTCAAGTCTGGGGACTGAGCTGGCTGTTCCATCCGCTCCATATCATGACCCTCAAGATATTCTTCAGCAACCCGAGATCGGTGCGATTGCGCATTGCCTTCCATAAGAAGAAATCCAGGACCAATAGCAGCGACATATGGGCAGACATATTGATCAACGATCTCATCACCATATCTCACAACGCTCAAAGTTCTTCCATGGAACACGTGCAGATCAGTATGACTACCGAAAGAGATCCCAGCCCAAACCATTATTTCACCACCTCTGCAACTGTGTCTTTCCACAGTGTGGGATTGGTTGTATCTGGTGCGTTATTTTTTCCAGATCAGCTCGTCCTGAATCACTCTCTATTGTGAACCTGGACTCGTCTGTGAAGAGAATAGACGTACGTTGTTGACTGGTCCAGGAGACGTGTTCTCTTGACCAACATAACTGTCCTCGTGTCAAGGGGACACAAATAACTGGTCGTCTTGCATACAGATCTGTATTGTGCAGGCAGGCGTCTGCGCACTGTAGTAGCTGAGATTCTTGTCCCTGTTGCCACTAAATGATCTGCCATGAGCTGAAGCACGGTAATGTTGCTCCTCCTTTGGGCGCCGAAAGCGTTAAAGCGGAATCCCGGAAATGTTTTAATTCTTGATTTGCCTGGGACATGTCTTCTAGACACAGCATTCTCGGATTCAAACTGATTCTGTAGACGGTGGACCACACTACGAGAAACATTGAGACGTCTAGCAGCATCAACTTGTCACAAACCTATTTCCATCCATCCGATCGTCCGCTAACTCAACGAATCGGGCAAACGTCTTCTTCTGAACATAGACTGTCCTTGATATTGTCAACGGAAATGCTAATAACAATTGAAGATCAACATTCGTGAACAAAACTTACAACTTTTGCATTTTCCTAGTTCCTAGTTCATCTGATATGCCGGAATTATCATGCGAACTTGTATGACGTGATCCGGCTCTCTGAAATAGTGTAGTTCGACGCCTGGCTATAACATTTCTTGACTGACTGCTACCGTGGTTGAAGGAGCGCTGAGAGTGAGGTAAGGGGCGTGACCATTGCCACATGTGTGTTGAAGTTTCAACTCATTGGTCTGGAGGAGTCTTGATTTGCTGTCATGTGACTCGTGAGTTGATAATGTCTCCTGATTTGTGGTGAGGATATTATACAGCATTTTTTACAAACAGTAATATAATATGAAAATTAAGACGGATAAGATAAATTAAATGCATTATTTATACTATATACAAGTTCCGATAGCATTTCAGTATTCGTAAATTAAATAGGAAAATTTGTATCAATCATATGAGCTTTTTGCATTTTTTTCTCAAAATCCTGTAAAAGTATTCACTTCTATAAAATAAAAGTGATAGCTATAGTTTTTAAAATAGTTTCTTAAACTTCCTTACTCTTATGCATATAAACTGTTAATTTAAATATTACTGACATTTTTGTAATGCTGAGCTTTGCATGCTGTTCCTTAATTTTTGGAAGGAAGTGTAAAAAAGGTATGGCTATTTAACACTATCGACAATTCTAAAGACATGCTGTTTTTAAATATTTTGTAATTTTGTTGTTGAATTTTATGTAGTGTAAATGTGAAAAAAGTGATGTTTTGTAATTAGAGTTAAAAATAATAACAGCTAATAAAAATAAGGTATGAAGTCAAAAGAAGTTGTGCAGGCTATCCTGTTAAGAACACCGAATATTTATATCATAAATTGAGAAATGACTGAACAAAATAGAAAAACATATGGCAACACTCAAGTAAGAGTTCTAAAATTATTTTGCTGTTAAAAATTTTGTGGTTTTACTGCTGAATTTTATGTGCCGTAAGTGCGAAGAAACCGATGTTTAAAGTTAAAAGAAGAATAATGTTGTGATAGCAGGTGTGAGTCCACCAAGAGAAGATTGGTAAACTGCGAGTTCAGCGATAGTATGGAAATTATGAATAAACTCAGTGGAGTTACGTTAAAATCTGTATCCTTTCATATTTTCTTTCATTTGGGAGCAAGGGGGATATTTAATTGCAAAAATATATGGGTCTCTCTTTTCTATGGTAGAAGCGTCTTTTATGGAGATTTACGTAGGAAATCTAGCCCTTATTTCCATTAACCATGAGAAAATTCATGCCAGTTTCCTTGCAGCAATGTTCCGTCGTGAATTATTCAATTATATCTACCGAAAGCTTGGGTGAATTTTGCAAAAGCGTTAAATCATTATGAAAAAATGATTAAACGGACCCAGTTTCAAAATACAGTGAACGAAGCCACACGAAAGATCGCTATTGTTAAAGTTTTACTTAACATTTCCACTTAAAATTATCGCTGATTAGTTCGCCCATGTTATGTTACGCTTAATTTTAAGATTATTCCAGTTCTTTAAATTCGGATCTATACGTTTTGTTCACAGGTTTTTGTTTAATTGCAGAGTTAAAAATTGACTATAGTTAATTTAATCAAATTATTAATTATCGAGCTAATTGTTGGATTTCAATATAAAGCTTTGGTTCTTGATCTTTAAACACTTGGTTTAGGACGGATAGCTTGTTTGCTCCATATTACAGATTTTTACTGCTTTTTAGTATTTTTATTTAATGAGTTATTTTGCTAAATTTGATTTGTATTACACTTTTTAAATCAAATTAATAGTGCGGGTACCGACTTTACAATTTCTGAATCGTTATGGATTATGTTTCGTATGGATTTACACGAGTGTATTTTATATTCCAACCAGCCTGTAGGATTGGATTGACGAAAGCATAAATCATTTTGTATTTAACTGATGTTTTTAAATTTTGTAAACCTGTATCTTTATCAGTTTAGAAACAAACTAATCCATTTGCTTCTCTCGGTACACCAACCTTCTGAAAAAGATGTATTCTTAATTTTTGTATTTAGTTTTTCGCTTTTTGTTCAATGGATTTTCAACCTGGACTCATTTATTTATCTCTCACAATGCTTTTCTCTCTCTCTCTCTCTCTTTTTTTTTTCTTTTGCAAAATAATTTATTTCATTATTATTACCAACTCTTTATTCAAAGTTGAATATGTTTTTATTTTACATTTTTGTTGTAATTTATAAATTTAGATATAGATATAAATATGATATATTTTTAAATATTTTTTGTAGCTCCAGTAGTTGATCCCGGCAGATGCGGATACGTGCAGAATAAACAGCATCATCTTAAAGTGTGGCCGTGGTTAGCTGCTATTTATGTTGCTATTCCAAATAATTCCAGTAAGCCAAGATTAAGCTTTTGTGGTGGCACGCTCATCTGCAGTCAGTGGGTCTTAACGGCTGCATCTTGCTTTTACCACGTCGAGAAAAATGAAACGGATGAAAACATCCAGATGAATACACAGGTGAGTACACTAGTATAAGATGATTACTGTGCGCGACAAAGGGATGACCACTGGCCTGATATTTAAGTCTTACAGTGTATCGTCATCCTGGCTGATGGAAAACCTGAGCGTGAAAATGAGCGGCGTTAATTATTGTGACTAATCAAGATTTACGGAATACAGGACACAAAGATTTACGGAATAAATATACAAAGTTCATAACATAAAATATATAAAGGTTTACTACATAAATATAAAAGGTTCTGGTGAGTACATTCATTGCATAAATTAATACATTCATTGCTTGTTTTCATACACTATTTACGTGAGTTTTAATGATTTCGAGATGCGTCCATATGTACCCAATAATCTTGATTAACATTATGTACATGGTAGGATTGAGTTCAGGAAAAAGTGCGAAACATTATACTGCTCATATTTACAGTTCTTTTACAAAGATATACATAATTAACGTAGTTAAAATATTTACATAGACATGAAGTTCTATATGACTGTTCAATTGCTTTATAAATATTTTCAGCAAATGAGGGTAGTAGTGAAAGTAATTAAAAGTACATAAAAGTGCAGTATGTAAGACCTACACTTAATGTTTTTCTATACTGCACAACGAAATGATTAACTTATGCTTCATTCCATTAGTTTGTAACTCAACATAGCTAACTCAGAAAGTTATGATGCTAGACTGATATTCCTGGTAATTTTGTAGTGATACATTGAGTTATTGCAACTAATCTTGAGGGCGTGGTAGCTGTAAAGGGAGTATCATTGTTACTTAGTCTAAGCTGTATGGAGCAAAAGGTGCTATGTCGAAATTGCTAGGGCATTCCAGTTTTTAATAATATTTTACTGCACAGAGTCTGATAGTGTTCTCAATCTTACGTTTGGCATTCTTATTTTCAAATGTATTCTCGGCTCACTGGGCCAGTAGGCACTGTTAGGAATTTTTAGGGGCTGCATTCTTTGTGTTCAGATAGTTGAAAATATAGTGACCTGGATCACCTACCTCTACACTTCATATGAGTCTGTATCTCGTTTTCCACATCAATGAAGGTAATGTGCAAAATGACCATGGCCCGTATTCAAACTGGTTATATTGTTTATACAGGCATAATACTCCAATAAATGCGACAGTTAAAAAATGCATATATTAGTACCAAAAACGTATCTGAAAGACAGAAGGGAATACTTAGTAAATTCTTCTGCAGTAATGTGCTAATAAAAAGGAATACTGGGATTATCTACAATACGGTTGTACTGTCGTTCAACATCAAGTTTTCCAGCATTAGAAATCTGAAAGAGTAGAGGTCAAGAAAGAGATTTCTCACTTTGAATGAATGTAATTAAGTTGGGTGTTTTAGTAACATGCAAGGGTGTCATAATTTTGTCCGGAATTTGAATTTGTAACATTGTATCGTGACTGACTAGATATAGTATAATTAAAGGAACAGAAAATGTTCAAAGGTTTTTCACAAATCTTAAAAGTACTTTGTGTGTCTGTCCTTTGAAACATGACAAACAGTCCGTTCAGACTCGTTTTATATTTGGTTGGTCTCAAGTAATTGAGAATTTTTTAAAATAAGTTCAGAGTCAACGCAGGAGCGGATCAAACAACTGGTACTTAAATCCATAGAAAGGTTCGAACTAGCTTACTATAGTACAAGATTTGTTTTTATTGACTAAGGTCAACCATCGTGTTGATGTCAACATCCTAATCCAAGACAAAATTTCTTCCACTTTTGTGAGTAAAATGACGTCACTAAGCAGATAGATAAGATACGTTGCTGTCTCGAGCATCGGAAAAACAAATGTTTGACCACACGATAAAGAATAATCTTATCTGTCTACTGTAGATAGAATGTGGGCCGATCTACTTCTGTAACTTCTTACTTCTATGGACACAAATTACAGAAATAATAGATCGACAGGCACAAGTAATGGAGTCATTAACACGCCTGTCCCTGAGATGAGCCAGGCAAGATGGCACTAACCTAGGCCAGACAGGATTGCAGCATTGATATTTGCCATATTATGAAGAGGAACTGAATCTGTAAGATCTGAAAATTTTTTTAATATTTCTATTTTATTGCAGTATTACCATATCTCTTTCCGATGTCTCTTATGAATGGGTCTTTATGAAGAAGGTTTTATGAAAGAGCGAACGTCCTTGCGAAGTCCGGCATCAATAATATCGACATAGTGGTTTCCATCTCAGAGGAAGGAGCTACACACCTTTTGTATCACGTTTTCACTAGTCTGAAGCGAGAAAGGTGGGATGATTCGACAACTGGGGATTTCATCTGCAACTTTCCAAGGGTGATAGCAAGAAGATTAAAAACGAATTTCTATCTCCAGAAAGTCTCTACCGAACACGGACTGACCTCTACCTCTCTCACTTCCTAGATCAAGACGTAAAATGCGTATGCGGAATGACAGCGTCATCTGATACATAATGCCTTCTGACAATGAAGCTTAGAGGGAAGTGCTTTCTCCAACACTATCAGACGATGACTCTAAAATAATTTCTAAATGAGTATTATTGTTATAAAAGAATGGGAGAAATACGAGTAATAATATTCCTCTAGATGAATCTCGTACATAACAAAATATAAATAAACTATAAATATTGTATACATTATATAAAAATATCTTATAATGTAACCAGTTGCTAATTGTATATGCTTCTTGCGGTCAACTAAATGGAAGGCAAACGCTCTTTATTTTTCTCGATTAAAAGACAAATAAATTACAAAGAATTTAGAAAAATTGATTGCAAAGACAAAAAGATTACAAAGAAAATAAAATTATTGTTGACCTAATCACCAATCTTTCGGTCCAAAAAAAGGTAAGGGGGGGAAGTTGAAAAATTAAGCAACCGAGAAACTGACAACGACCGGGATGATACCCTAGATTGTAGTGCCTTTTAATGGCAAAGTAAATAAGGGATATATAAATGAATCCCTTTCTGTTATGAACTAACTAAAATCCTTCTAAAACCATAATGGCTCACTCTGTGTTTATTGCATTGTTTACGTACGTGTTCGTAATGGACTGAACGCACACAGAACCGATGATAGCTTGATAAAATGTATGTTTCGAAAAGGAAAAATTTGCAGTTCTGAAACTTTCCACAAAAGTACTCGTACAGCTCTTCTACAGTATAGCAGAGTACAATGAGTAGTTGCCACTTTATACTACTAAGAACGTTAAACACGACGCTGTGCATAGCGCATCTAAACAGCGAAGGTCACACGGATTTCTTTCAATACTCCGAAGTCTACTCTCAAATAACCGAGAACTGATGCTCTTTTCGGTCTTATATAATTTCTCCTGACCGCTGAGATATTTCTAATACCTTCCATTTCTCGAATTTACCAGAAAGTATATACGATTAAAGTTACATATAATTGTTGGATACGGTTACAGTTGCATATAGGGATCAATTACAGTTACGCCATAACCAGACAAAGATGTCGAGAAGTTTGGCGATTTCTCGCTAAATTCGGAGACAAAAATGAGTCTCCAAACCATCACTAGCTTGGCGATTTAGCCAGATAGCCATTCACCTCAATGATAAATAGACTTGCTCCTGTAATCTTATTTTTTCGGCAGAGCTTCATTTCTTCTTTAAGCAGTTCATAATCCATTATATGTAACGTGTCCATTGTATACGCGGAATGGTAAAGCCATAGATTTCCCACTTAATTGGAATGTCTTTCAAAAGGAGAACAAAGATTTCCCTCCTCGAGCCATCTTAATTTGCATCAACTCTAGACTGGTCACCTAATATCATCCCATTGGAAAGAGATCACATTGCTGTCCTATTAGAAACACAGAATCTGATGATTATTCTCAGTTCAATATACTCCCCACCCACATCAGAAATAAATGCAGCTGCAATATTCATGGCCAGTTTACTAAAGCAGTACAAATAGATAACATCCTCTTGCAGGTGACTTCAACGTTCGTAATATAAATTGGGGATATGCCAATACAGTCCCCCAAGAGTCATAACCTTGAAGAGTTTCTCGCTGCAAATAACTTAAATTCTAATTAATACAGCAGATGCTCTTTTAACGTTTGATTATATGTATGTGCAAGGTTGACCAGACATGACCTTTGCTATATCAACCTTACCACACTTATACAAGATTGGGCGGTGGTCGAAGAAACTTATCGGACCATAATTACACCACCTACAAATTCGATAGAACTATCAGTATGACTTTTATCAAAAGGTATTACTTGCCAGGAAGAAAGATTAGATCATTTACAAGAATAATAAAACTACGACTTTCCACATTCCACAGACGCCTAATTAATATAAGATCTATAACAGACATACAGTATTTTATGGATGATCTCATGATTTCTCTATATGAAGAATGTGAGGAACACCTCCCCGTAAGAACTACTGAAACAGCTGCATTGGTGGAAAAGTGAGCTACGCATACAACAGAAAAAATGCCACTCGCTGAGAAGACGTTGAAACAAGAAAAAAACGAATAGAATTAAATCTAACATTATCATCATTTTTCAGAAAGAAACGGCTTTATAGAAACGGATTAGTATCGAAGCAAAAATGAATTCATGGGAAAACTTTTGTACAGATAACACCGTTACATATGGATTTTACCACAAGATTGTAATGGATAAGCTGTAGAAACCTTTACATTATTTTAAATCGACGACTTTTGTGAGGGGTCATGTGGCCCCTCACCCTTTCCCATACCATCTTGGGGTACTCTAGGCGAGGGGGACGCGGTGCTATACCAATTAACCGCTATGGTAGAGGGGTAGTACTTTCGTCCTCCGTCACTTGTCAGTTGTCACTTTAAGCAGTTCATGTTGCATTATACAAAATTCTAAAAAATACCGTAATGTCTGATAACAATCATTCTTAAAACATAGTTTATATTAGATCACGTACATTTTCTTCATGCACCCAAATAAAAAAAAAAAAAAAAAAAAAAAAAAAAAAAAAAAAAAAAAAAAAAAAAGAAAAAAAAGAAAAAAGAAAATAAATCGAATCGCATTTCATTCTTAACATTAATAATTTTTAATGCAAAAAGGTAATTTATATTAAAATTGCAGAGGATGGAAGAGTTATGAGTTATTTTAAAAACTTGTATTAATTTTTCATTGTTTCTTGAAATAAGATTTTAAAATTTGATGTGAAAGTATACCTGGGGTCATGTTTCACAGTCCAGATACACTAACATCATTTAGGCATTCGAATGAACCAAATGCATTCAAATTCTATTCTTGCCTTTAAGATAAGTAAACCATCAAAATGAAAGCTATTTCCATTCTTTAGAAACTGATGCATATTAATTATTGCTAGTTCCGGTGTTAATAAAAATATTCTGAAAGGGATTATCAGCTTCATAAAAACAATTTGACTGTGTGGGAATATAAAACCTTTTGCTGGATGGCATGCCAAAAGTATGAGCGACTTTGTATAGATTTAAGTCCAAGCTGTTATTCATATTTAGCCCACAATACCAACATTGGTTGACTTTTGTCAAGCAACGGACGATCTGTGTATCTAAACTTTTAGGTAGAGGACTATCTAAGAAAAACTGGGTAATATTTTCGTTACATGTTAAGAGATCTAAAGACGTAATCCCAAACCAGTTGTTCATTCATCGACCAGAAGCCAAACTTGGAGGTAACTACCAGTTTCCCAGGGGTTTTACTATTCGATTTTCGGTGCGCAGACCACGGAAGAAGATCTCAAATCAAATTAACTACGAAAGCAATGTAACACAAAGGTCGTTAAACTAAAACACGCCGTAAAAGCAATATTTGAGGAGTTTAAAAATAAGGCAGATGTGCGGGAAATATTTTCTTAATCTGAAACTATTTTCATGACGGCCAACGGACGCTTTTATAGATCCAGTGGCTGCTCTTCTGTAGTAGAGAAGTTCCACTTACTGATACAGAAGTAAAAGGTTAAAATACATTAGGATTAGGAAATCTTCGATGTGGGAAATTTAATTTATCTATTCATTCGTGATATTTTCCATATAAGACAGTTGTCTAACCTTTTAAAGTTTTCTTCTGCTTATTTTTTATGTCTCTTTACACTATTTCTATCAATTTATTTTTCTATTGCAGGAAGTATTTGTAAGTTTAGGAGAGGAAGACTTACGAAAAGAGGATTCAAATCAATTGAACTTCTATGCCACCGATGTCATCACTCACCCTAAGTTTCGTGAGCCTAACGGCTTGCAAGATAATTTGGCACTCGTCAAACTGAATGCTCCAGCACCGATGGGACGATTTCGTCCAGCGTGTTTACCTCCGACAGGTAAAAGCTCAGAAATTATACAGAATTTAGAATAGAGTTACTCGACAATGGGTAATTTCTTCCTAAAAGAGATATTTATCGTCACGGGGAAGTTTGGCGGTATTCTTCTGTTATTGGGACCGGACTAAGAAGTGTATGTGTGTATGCATGTATGTGCGTATATGTGCGTGTATACACAGTCGTATATCTGTATGCATGTATATATGTACGTATGTATGTATATACATGCATACAGATATACATCGATATGTACGTATGTACATATATACATGCATACACAAGCCTTGAGGCCTGAATTTTGAATTTTTTTTAAAAAAATCTATAGAGACATTAGGTAATTTTTGAAAGCAAGAAAGATGAAAAATGAGCAACCGCCTTCGGCGTGAATCGAACAGCGGACCTCTGAAGTACGCGCCCAGCGTGTAAACCACCACACCCCGAAGGCATGCTAAGGAGGTAGGAGAAATACTTTATAAATGTATTTGGAATTTTGTGCAAAATTAAAGAACTTTTGATTAAGAACTTAAAGAACTCGACGAAGTCCAACAGCGTTTCGACAGAAGTCATTGTTGTCTCGAGACTAAAGTAATTGTCAATATTTTTTTCGCTTTTCAGTATCAATCTCTGCCTCTTCTGCCGCTGTAACATTTGAAACGATATACGTATTGCCAAAAGAATGACAGCCTGGTTTAGTACAATTACCATCGAACCATTGCTTGATGTTTCTCCGATCGATATTTTCGAAGAATTTTACGCTTTGAATTTTTTGGTATGCAACTTCAGGTGTTGCCTCGCTTCTTCACAATTAGATACACTATCGATTTTTGTATTAATAAGAATCTATTTTTTGCTACTTCGTATATGCCATACAATACAGTCCGCTTTTCAGAACTTTATTTATAAGGATTTTAAGTTTTACTAACGTTTATTTTATTTTAAAACTTTACTGTCCCCTCTTATTTTCCACTTCCGTCCGGAATAAACGCGATTAGTTTTAGCATGAAAATTGAGTTTGCAACCTGTTAAAGTATTTAAGTTGTGGCTTTTATCCAAGAAGGAGTTAGTAAAAGAGAGATTTCTCGCCACCTTACTTCACGCGCACTTTTCAGTCAGTTGGTGTTCACCTTTAAGGCCAGAAATTTAGTCCTCTTGATACTGAAGACGTATTGTAGTTTTCCCGCATTTCGCGTAACCACATACGTAAAGATTAAAAGGCTAATCTTCGCATTTATAGTAAAGCATTTGAGTTTAGTTCTTATTTAATTTAGTTAGTTTGTAGTTTTTTTTTTTTTTTTTTTTTTTTTTTTTTTTTTTTTTTTTTTTACGTTTGCAAGGACTAGTCTTTGTATCCCGAAGTGCGGGAGCAGCTGTAAACTGTGAATAATAAAGTCGTATGTTCTACAATTTCAACGAACATAGTTTAAAGTAACCTAAGTGTTCTACATCAGAAGACCAACATGTTTGCCAAAGCAATTAGACGGAATAGTAGTCCTGATACATTAAATCATTATCTTCCTGAACATTGATTATGATAAGATCAGAATGGTAAAGTCGTTTCACTGATGATATTACATCGATCCATTGTCTGAATTAAACTGTTTACATTTGGCGTAAAAATCGAGCCTTTAATAGACCATCTGTTGTTTTTAAAATGTTCTCGTTTAGATGAGAAAGTTTATTATGTAAGAACAATACTGCTTTTTCTGGCAAAACCTTTACTTTTTAAAAGGTCCCTCTTTTCAGGAAGCCATTTAGTCCTGAACCAGTGTTCGAATATTTGTCAATTAATTCATGACCGTTTTTGATTGTAATAATATACAGGAAAATTTTGCATTTCGGTCCCCTTACATGATCTATGGTTCTTTGCTTTTTCAATGACCAAAGTTTTCATTTTATGCTTTCCTGATGCATTAGTACAACACATGACTATTAATGCGCTTTTTAGATGATTTGTGCCCGGGAATGGACTTTTCTTTTGATGAAGGAAGCGTTTTCATTTTCAAACACTTCCAATATAGGAGTGTCTCATCTGCATTATAGATTTCATCAGGCTGCAAATTTTATTGGTTGAAATATTTCTAACAAATCGATGCAGATTTTATCAGCGGCTCCAACAAACCACTGAGACATCTTGCTTGTTTGGTGAGGTCTGGAATAGCACAGCGTTACTTAAATCTTGTAAGCCATCTTGACGAGGCCTTAAAGTTTCCTTTTAATCCCAACATTCTATTGAAAAACTTGATTGCTCCGTGTACATCGGACCTCCAACTGGCATACCTTCTGCTTGTTTCTGATTAAGCTATGTCAGCGTAGTTGAATCCAAGTTTCCGTGTGCTGAGAGTTTCATAGTTTTTCGATTAAAAGGACCAGCCGCATTGTCAGAGTCTCTTGTGAAAGATCTTAACCTTTTTTTTTTAACAATATCACGAGCAGTACTCATAGACTCATACATTGATTTATTCATTTTTTAGTCCTAAAATTTTATAAAAATTTTTAAAGGAATAAGATGAAAATATACACGGAGATACGTACGAAACAAAAATATCCCAATGATCAACCGAAATTTGAATATGCACACGCAGAACGAATTCTACGATATCATTGAAACTAAACCTAAACACGCAAATAGAGGTTTTTAGAGCATGCTCGATTTGCACGCGTTTATTTTTTACATACTATGGCGCATAGTAATGAGTGTGATTGTGTGGGCATACTTGCAGGTCACGCATTGTTAATCCTCAAACCGGATAATCCAAAACCGGATAACTAAGAGTGCACCGTATATGTCTTTTAAAAATTATTTAAAGCGGCTAGCCAAGTTACTAGTAAACATAACTAATAAACATTTATTAAATATAACGCATTTTGATTTAGAAATACGTCTATAATAAATATTATATTTTATAGTACACTATATTTTAGTTTTACCCATTATTTAAAATTAAATATTTAAATAAAATTTAGAAAAGTAACTTCTGAGATAACATTCTGGCATGCGGCTGCAGAGGAAGAAGGGAATGAGTAAGTGAGTGAGTGAGAGATTATGGCGCAAAACCAAAGATGATTATAGCGCGCTAAACACGAGATGGGGTGATCACAATTGATGAAATTAAAATACAATAAATAAAAACAAGTAGACAAATGTACCAAATCCAGAAGATGAAGTCATATAAAAACAATTTAAAAGCACACATTTCAAATTCAAGACACAATCTTCAAAACAAATTACATTAGGTAATAAAAGCCAGTCTCTTTTAAATAATAAAATTAATTGCAATTGACCTCTCTTCCGATTAAACGGTCGAGAGGTAAGTCACAGCTACTAAAATATTTCTGGCGAAGACTATTAAAACATGGACACTCAATTAAAATATGACGAACAGATAAACAAACATTACAATTAGAACAAACAGGCTCATTTTCAGCTTTGAGAAGATAGCTATGTGTCACTCTAGTGTGACCAATTCTGAAGCGAGTCAAAAGAACTTCCTCCTTACGATTTCCAGGTAAATCCCAATGCTCGATTTTAGGCTTTACATTTCTCAACTTGTTGTTAAGCTGAAGGTCCCAAATTTGCTGCCATTTTTTCCGGATTTTCCCCTTGATGACACAGCAGATGTCTCTAAAAAGGATAAGGCGACTGGATAGTTCAACAGCAGATTTTGCCGCGTTGTCTGCAAGCTCGTTTCCCTTTATTCCCGTATGCCCAGGAATCTAGCAGTACAGGATTTCATATCCACGACTTGTCAAGTTTATATGTATTTTTAGGACATCCACTATTACAGAATTTTGAGTGTTGGGAAAAGCTTCCAAAGATTTAAGAGCACTATACGAGTCTGTATAAATTATGAACTTTTTGTGGCAGAGCTTTGAGATGTACAAAAGACCATGATAGATTGCAGCTAGTTCACATGTTAAGACTGAGAAACCATTGTGCAAACGTCTGCCCTCTATGTGATCTTGAAATACAAACGCCATCCCAACATGATCATTTGACTTGGATCCATCTGTATATATCGGATAATAACTGCTATATTTGTGCCTGTGCTCAGCGAAGAGTTTTTCTATAAATAATCTCGTTGGTGCTTGCCTTGACGTGATGCGTGAAAACATCAAGAAGCTGAATCCGTGCATTTTCCAAGGTAGGATTTCAAAATTCTGTACTGCTTGGGGGTGCATATCAGAGAGGGAAAGTTCCTCAATGACAGGCCGAACTCTTAAAGGAAAAGTAGGAACACAGGATGAGCGTGTTTCAAATAAAGTGTTACACACATTATCAAGTAAGCACAGCTTATTGGGATGTTCAGATTGGGATAGAATATTAAACTATTGCAATAGGGACAATTGCTGACGCCTCAGGTAAAGTAATGGTTCATTGGAGTCAACATACAGGCTCTGGACATGAGAAGTCTTGAAAGCTCCTGAACAAATCCGCAGAGCTTGATGATGAACAGGATAAAATTTTAACAATACTGATGACCGAGTGGATCCGTAAACCACTGAGCCATAGTCCAGTCTAGAGCGGACAAGCGCTGTGTAAATGCTAAGCATGGAGCAACGCTCTGCACCACAGGAGGTGTTCGCCAATACTTTTAAAATATTTAGTGTTTTTAAGTACTTCTTTCTCAGGTTTAAAACATGAGAAAGGAAAGTCAATTTTCGGTCGAACGTCACTCCTAAAAATTTTACTTCGGGAGCAACTGGAATAATTGTACCATTCAGATATAAGTCAGGCTCAGGATGCAGACCTAGCTTCCTACAACAGTGAACACACACAGTTTTCTGTTTGGAAAAAGTAAATCCCTGTTTGTCTGACCATTCTTGGATCTTAATCAGAGCCATCTGCAATTGCCTCTCTACGTATCTCATGTCTGCCCCTCGACAGCTAATCTGTAAATCATCGACATATAGAGATCCCAAGATGGTGGAGAGGAAGTTCTTTTCAAGTACAAAAGTTTATTTTAAAGCTGAACAAGGGTTACACTAAGCACACAGCCTTGAGGCACACCCTCTTCCTGTTCAAAAACATCTGAACAAAACAGAGCCAATTCTTACTTGAAAAGCTCTAGTGTTCAAGAAATTCTGAATGAAAATTGGTAGGTTGCCAATCGCAAGTCACTCTCGTGAAGATCCTGAAGTATACCGTATCTCCATGCCTTATCATAAGCTTTTCTCAATGTCGAATAAATAAATAAATATCTAAATAAAAAATGAGACAAAGGTGACTTCTAACAAAAGCTTTTCGAATGGATGTCTCCAAAAGGAGCATGTTATCTACGGTTGTTCTCCCCTTTCGAAAACCGCTTTGATAAGGTGATATAATATTATTTTTTTTCCAAGAAGTAGACTAGGCGGCTCTGTACCATCTTTTCAAAAGAGTTTGCATATGCAACTGGTAAGGGCAATTGGCCGATAGTTGGAGGGATTCCTTAGATCTTTCCCTGGCTTAGCAATAGGAATTACAACAGCTCTTCTCCATGCACTGGGATAAGTACGCTCTTTCCACACTCTATTGTAAAGAGTTAGAAGGGCATTCAGTGACTTATAGGACAGATGTTTTGGCATTTCGTAATTCACGCCATCAAGACCCGGAGAAGACCTATGTATCTGTAACAAAGCTCTCTTTAACTCTAGCACAATAAAATCTCTATTATAAGGCTCAAAGTTGGAAGAGTTGAAAGCGATGGGATTTTTCTCAGAGCGTTGCTTGATAGAAAGAAATGCAGGTGAGTAATTTCGGCTGGAAGAAACGGCAGCAAATGTCTCACCAATAGTATTAGCAATTTCTTCTATAGAGCTAATCACTCGGCCCTCTTTTTCCAAAAAGGAAAGTGAGTGGTCTTTATATATCCCGCATGCTTTTCTGACTCTCTCCCAAACCCGCTTACTGGCGTAGAGGATGTTATTGATGACACATGTTGTTGAAATGCCATCAGGTTTCGCAGAGTTGGGTATCTATTTCTATTTTTTCAGTGCTTCATGACAGTCGCGATTCCACCACGGTTTCGAATATTTTATTATTTTTCCTGATGTTCTAGGAATGGAGAGCATAGCTGCCTGAGTAATAGCAGTTATAACTGGCTCCACTGCATCATCGATAAGTACATCTTCTACCATGTTCTGTGTGACTAACTTGTCTCCTGGCTTCGGCATATGAAATGTTCCTAGAAACTTTTATGGTCTGAACTTCTTTTTCTAATTTTCCATTTTGGACAGGAACGGGAAAATGCTTGGACATAGTTGCCACTTGCAATTAATACACAGTGCTGCAGCGGTGCAATTATCACTATCATGGCCAACCGACGAACACCGAGCGCACGTCAGGGTCCCACGACAGGACATCTTGGAATGGCCAAAACGCTGGCACTGGAAACATCGCATGGGGTTTGGAATATAAAATCTTACGGGGCAATTTAGATATCCAGCCTTAATATTCTTAGGCAGATCAGGCGAGTTGAAGGTCAGGATCACGTGTTTTGTGTCAATCAACTGACCTTCCTTACGCATCTTGATCCTTTTGGCAGCACAAAACTTTTGATCAGCTAACTCGGAGACGAACTCTTCTTATAAAACACACAGAAGGTCGCTTTCCGAGATTACGCCTCTACAGTGTTTTGTGCGCTGACACAGTTATAGATACCTGTCCAAGTTTGGTTTGTCGTAATAGTGAAGCAGACTGGGTGGCCGAAACGGTATCAATAAGCAGGTCTCCAGAACGGAGATGCTTTATGTTCCTTGGCTCACCTATGCGGGATTGAATGTATTTGTTTATCAGGAAAGGAGACATCTTTTTGAATTCTTCAGAAGCACTGGAAACAACAACAAAGCGAGGACATTCAGTAGTTTCATTGGCATTTGCATCGGTACGAATTTTCTTGCTCACAGATTTGTCGATGATTTCAATATCTTGATTAGTGTCATTTGACTCAGGTTTTTTTTTAAATAAAAAGGGAAGCCATGATTGAAAATATAAGATTCGGGTCCGACGGCCCCGCCCACCACGGAGCCCAACAAGGGAACGCAGATTCCTGTGTTAGGGCTACCCGGACCTATACGCAAACTGAAGCCCCACAGTCGCCTTTCCCGAAAGCAGGTACTCCCGAGAGCTTATCCCCAAGCCACTGACACAAGGACTAGTGACCAGCCGATTGACACCCGTGAGGACGACTAAGGTGCCTCTCGTTTAGCTGAAGCAGAGGCCAAAGCTGTGTGTTGGGGACAGTACCTCGCCCCTCAACTACCAGGACCCTCCTTTCCAGCGACACGGGTCTCCACGCACGGCAAACTCGTGGGTAGTTTTCTCGCCACTCGAAAACTAGAGACAAGGGATGCTCCAGTCTCTCGTGACAAGCCCCAAACTCCGTAGAGAGAAACCACGAGGGAGAAGGGAAGGGAAAAAGTTCCAGCCAAGAGGAGAGGAGACGGAAAAGAGGATAGATCACTGGGGCTCCAGGATCGTGACACCTGTCTCACCAAGAAGATGATCCCCTGAAGGGCTAGGGTACCTCGGGATTGCCACACCCGTACTCACAAAAGCGAGCCCCCTGAGGGCGAAGAAGGGAATGAGTCATAAAAGTTGAGAATCATTTCGTTATGCCTTTAGAGCTACAAAGAGAAGCTCAGTACGTTTTTACACATCATTCAGTGAAAAATTTTTAGGAACCAATTAACTAGTTTAGATTGTTTATCCGCGGTGTAATGATTAAGTGCAGTTCAAGATTTTTATGTGTGAATTAAGCGAAAAAGTAGAAAAATAAATTGCTTATTGTGACGATTAATTGTTCCACCTTGAGCAATACAGCATTCGTTATTAAATTTATTGTACATCTTTGCGAAACTGTACACGGATACGTAAAGATATGAAAACTCTTTGATTTCTGTAAGCATAAGGAAAGTTTAGATATTTATAGCATAATGAATGTTTAACTATTTATAGTATTATTTTATTTTATTCCCTAGCCCCTTGGGTAAGCCCTCCTATTTGCAGTAAACTGAACTAAAAGTAAACTCGGCGGCACAAACAGCCCTTAGAGAGCCATGGCCGGCAGTGCCCTGATATCCGCTTTCTAGACCGTTGGCTCCAAGGTGTTTGTGTTATTTGTAGTACTTGCTAACAATTTCATAACATTCTGTACTTAATTTCAAGAAATTAGTAATCAGGAATGAATGATTCGAATCAAGAGTAAAGGAAATAAAATCTTTAGTAACCTTTTTCGAACATGTTTTTAAACATAGTGCTACTTGCGTACGGGTTCGTAAGGGACTGAATGCACACAGAACGATAGTAGCTTGATAAAATTTGTTTTCTCAAAAGAAACACTTTAGAATTCTGGAACTTTTCACAAAATACTAGTCTACTCATCTCATTATGACAGAGCATAATCAGTACTTACTACTACAAACTGCTAAGAGCGTTGAATAAAACACAATATAAACAGCCTCAAATGCGAAGCTTGTGCAGTTATCTCTCAGTACTATTAATACTTGGAGCTGAACTGAACTGAGAACTGATGTTTTCTCCGATCTTCTACAGTCCTTTTCTTCTGCCCCCCCCCAAGAAATTTCCATTATCTTCGATTTCTCGAAATTACTGACAGATATATACAGTTAAATATAGGGTCGAATACAGCTACAGCTACATATAGTAATCAGACCAATTACAGTTATTAAGGGATCGGACCAAAATGCAGCCCAGTTTGGCGACTTTTGGTGATTTTTCGACAAATTTTTCAACCAAAATTAGCTTCCGAAAACATCGCCAGTCTGGCGCCAATTTGGCAAGACAGCCATTTACCTTGCCCAGTAATCTTTTTTTTTCGGCCGAGCAACGCAGTCTTGAGGAATTCCATGTTACATTATATAAGAGAAACTAAAATTCCCTTGAAATATACTTGTTCTGTTTGTATATCATTTATTTGCTTGAATAAAACTGTATAATAATAATTGCAGAAAAGCCAGTGCATCTGCATCTGGATTTGAACATAAACACTTCAATTGCCGGTTGGGGTCTACCTCCCGATCAAGAACATGACAGAGATATCAATGGTGGCACAACCAGAGTTCATTTATTGAGCAAGTCAGTAGCATTAGAAGAAGAAGATACTTGCGTTCAAACAAGTGGACGAGCAGCTCGTGTTAATATTTTCTGCGCTGGAACTGGGTTTGTAAGCTTTATTATTTTCCTTTATTTGTGCTGCAACTTTGTGACACTAAAAAAGCACTTTTAGGGATTATTGGCTCTGAAACTAAGAGTGTGTTCAAGCATGTCTAACGTTCCATATTCCAAAAATTGAGTTGCTTGGAAGAGCAGGAAATCAAAATATCGAAGTATTCGAAAATGAGTACCGTATTCCCTCGCGTATTCCCCCCTCTTTTTAACGAATTTTATGGTCCGAAAATCGAGAGGAGAGAATTTTGCGAATAACTTCCTATCCGAAGGACATTCTTGCAGTAAAACCATAACAAATGAAAAGCAGTTATGGCTTAACTACAGGTAACTATCACGATTTTATTTCTTTAAATGAAATCTGCATTCCAATGAGAAAACATAGTCATATCAACATTACAATACCTAATAAGATATCTTCATTTCTAACTTCCTGTAGCTGGAATCTCACCCGTTCCTACTGTTGTCTCTACTATTTCTTAGGCCTACCGCCCAGACGGTATACTAGACAGGGAAACCGACGGCGATACCAAAGTGCCCGGGTTCGAATCCCGGACAAGACATGGAAGTAAATTGTCTGCTCCTCATAGGAGATAACGGTGGACGCTTGTTAGGTGCCTCCATAATAAAATAACCATCACTTCTGGCCTCAATAGTGGCGAAAGCCTAAAAATGGCTTGTGAGCACCATAAGCCAAAGGAATAAAAATTTTTATTTTTATTTTTTACGATGGGCATTAGCCATTTTTAGGCTTTTCAGGCTGGAGCCCACCGCAAGGCTTTTCCGGCACTTTCTAGTTTCTAAGATGTATCATAATTGTAGCCTGAGCGCTCAAAAGAGTGGCACTGAACAACAATTCCACCAGGAAATGTTTTTGACTTCGTGACATTTTATTCAGCAATAACGAAGATGTGGCAATACATACCAGTTTCTGAACTGCTTCTTTTAGTTTGGGAAACAAACTTACGATAATATCGTTACCTTCGAGGAAATTAAGCAAATTTGGCACAGCTTATTTCAGAATGGATAAATTTTTGCGTGCCTAAAAGTTTTAGAAGTGACTGACTACCTGGCTGTTCGTATCATCGCATCCGCTGAATTGCGCTTTCAGCAGGATGGAGAAATGAACCATTGTTATGTTCCTAAATTTGTGCAAATAGTACCAAATCTAACATGATGAATTATGATAAACTGCTCAAGCATGTCCCTTAATACCGGCTTCTAACAGAAAAGTGCACTTGCATACATATCCATACCGATGTAACCAAATTTGGGGAATGAAAATGGTCATTTATGCAGAACCTTACATTCGTTCTCGGCTTAAAAATCAATCCTCAGATTCGAAGGCATTTTCCCCATTCCATAAGCACTATCCAGTGTGCAGTATATTTTGCGTTACTTTATTTACTATTACTTGCATACTATAGAGTATATTTTTCATGAATAAAATACCTTTCAAAATAAAGTTGCCAATAGCGACATTTGAATAAAAAACCGTCCAAGAACAAAACTCTCACTTTAACTATGCTAAGGAAGAGAATATCAAGAAATGATTGAATTAAAAAAAGAGAGAGAACTATGTTCGCACACAAATGGAATTAAATAAGAGTGAGAATAGTGAATATGTTCCAGTACAAAACTCTCACCTTAGCTGCGCTGAAGAGAACCCGGGAAATAGTGGAATTAAAAAAGAGAGAGAATAATGTATATGTTTGAGCACAAAACTCTCACCTTAACTATGCGAATGAAGAGAATCTCGGGAAATGATGCAATTGAAAAGAGAGAGAATAAGATATATGTTCGAGCACAAAATTCTCGCTTTAACTACGTTAAAGAAGATAATCTCAGTAAATAATGGAATTAAATAGAACTAAAAAGTAGAGAGAATAATGTATATGTTATTTTACTTTAACCTCGATTTTCTTGCTTATTTTAATTTCATATCCTATTTCATCTTATAAAGATGTTTGCTCATATGCTGAATATGAACGTAATATCTATCTTCATAACTCCAAGCTCCCCTAGTTAGTTTGAACTTACAAAAGTACCCTAAATCTCATTATGAAAGACGGTTTCAGTTTTCGAAAATTTCATACTTTAGTGAGGAACTAATGTACACTGTGATCGTGGGGAAAGAAAAAAAGAATCTTGGAAAATTTCGTTTCATTGAAAGGAATCGTAAATGATAAAAGATCTAAGAAACTCCTCTTTAGAGAAACTAATTTTTTGGTGTTGACTTTTTATTTAGCACAGCAGTTAATGATTATTCTGTTACAACATTTAATTAAATTTAGCATATTTTGTGGTACCTCTGTTTTTGGCAGCGGCTTTGGCGAGGAAAAAAAAAAAAGGCGTTGGCGCAATTCGGGGTTTAAAGTGCGATTTGTTGCCAAATATTGTAAACATCCGAATGAAATTGACCACCATAAACGATAAATCGGAAATTCATTCAATGTCTATACAGCACAAGTTATTTAATACTAGCAGAAGTACCCGATGCCAGTTAAGTTAGACTGAGAGTAATGCATCTAACAAACCGAGAAAACGATACCTCTGTAGTTCTTCTCTAATAACGAGGCAAAAAATACTATTCATAATCATACATTTTTCATTCTGATGCGATATGGAACCCACATAAAAAATTTCAATAAAAAAGTAAGCTTTTTCTCTCTCATTATACCAGCAACAATGGCACGCAGTTTTTAGTGATTTTCATCTTTCTAATCAGACGGTCGTAAAAGCGCAAGTTCTATCCAATATTTCACCTATATTCAATTTTAGTCGATTAAATGTGGAAAAAGTTGATCATAATTGACCAGAAATCAATAACGCGAACAAACACACAAACACACATTCTTCTTTATAGAATTTGTAAAACTTACAAATTTTTAATTAACAGACTCTACGATTGGAAAGCGAGCAGTAGCAACACTTTTAGAAATAAAGCATTTATATCTCCAACGCGTGAGACTGTTGCCACTCGGAAAAAAATGAGGTCGAAAATTAGCGCTTTCAGATTTTTTAATTCATATTTTGTCTGATTAAAGTCGTACGAAGATGGGAATAGTCGAAATGGCTTGCCACGAATTTTTGGAATCGGGAATAATGTATTTAATATTTCGCAATGCATTTTCTTTTACATCGTAAAACTTAGAAATGTGTTATTAACAAACTCTAGGATTTGGAAGCGAGCAGTGGCAACAACATTCGAAATAAAGAATATTTTCATCTCCAGCTTGCGAGATTGTTGACGCTCGGAAAAGGAAGGCAAAAGTTATCGTTTTTCCGAGTTTTAACTAAAATCTCTGATTTTGGCTAACTTTTTTTTTTTTTTTTTTTTTTTTTTGAAAAAGTGGACGTCGACCTTCTGTAGGACGCAGAAAAGAATTGTAGAAAGTTTGGTGACGATAGCTATAGTAGTGACTGATTTATCAGCGAATAAACACACAGACTTTCTTCTTTATAGTATATGCAGATGTATATAGTATATATATAGAGAGAGAGAGAGAATGATTTCAGTTTAAATTTTCATTATTACAGTATTTAATACCGGTTTTCTAGGAATTTATTAAAACACTAACATAATTCAACGAAACTTATATCGTATTTAAAACAATTATGTAAGCAATTTATTTAAAATGATAACATATTGTCGCGTGCCTACGAGTTCGTAACAGATTGAATGCACTAGTCTGATGAAACGTAAATAAAATTTATTCTTATCACAAGAAATAAAACAAAATGCTGAAATTTTTCCTCATAGATATTCCTACAATACAACAATATCACACAGTAGTTATATTTTAAACTACTAAAACGTTAAGTAGAATACAATTCAAAGCGCAGAGAAAGCTAATCCGATATCAAAATTGCAGTAGCTAAGTAAACAACTGAGCTGAGATGTTCTCTCTCTGGCTTTTATAGACTTTTAAAAAAGCCGCACGAAAGAGTTCTAGCAATTTCTCGAAAGCATAAAGAGTAGAATAATGGTTACAGTTAACATTGTAGTCAATTACATTTATTCAAATTAAATATCAGTTACGGAGATAAACTTTTATTCAATGTTAAATGCACGTGCTCTTGTATTTTTACTTTTTCTCCGTAGCTTTCTCTTAAAACACGTCACGCGCTTCATTTCACGGGGAAATAAAATAATTTTAATTACAATTCTACTAAAAATAGCTAACTAAATACAAAATCCGTAGCAAAAATAAACAAACAGGAAAATTTTATTTATTATTTTATTTAATACGATTTTGCTAGCAATTTATTAAAAAATCGTATATAAACATTCCCGAAAATTAACATTTCAAACGTCAGTTACAGCTTTATTCTGAGGGGGGAAGATGGAAGTTTGAAAATAGTAAGCATAATGAGTATTTTAAATAGAAAACCAACATATTAAGAGAACGCAATTACGAAAACCCAGTGTAATCGTTAAGCATTTGTTGCTCGCGAATACGCAGATCGGCAACTGTCTGTTTCTCGCGAAAGCAGAAATGCGTCGAATCGGCTTTCTGGCCAAGGTCACTAGCGAAGACACGTACCGATTTTGCTTATTTGTTCACAAGAAGATATTAGGGTATTTCCAAATAGAAATCATACTTTTTTTTTTTTTTTACTTTCTAGGGCAGATACATGTATTGGTGACTTAGGATCGCCGATCATAGCAGTCGACCCCTCTACACAACTTCATCATATCCTTGGCGTCCTCAGCAAACGATTAAAGTGTAAACTAGGCCATAATCAATATGCAGAGCTCACTCAGTATGTTAAATGGATAGACGATGTTACAAATAAATGTCAACAGGAGCACTATATGGCTTAGAAGAGGATTCAAAGCTTTGACTAATATTTGAGTTACCATCTCCAGCATTCTCGACTGTTGTATTTGAGAGTAAACAAGTTTAAAAACCTATAATATTGAGCACAAAGTATGCTGTTTAATATTTTGCATAAATCAAAGAGATGTAGCTCAAAATATAGTCGTGAAGGAATTGAACGATCAGCTTATTAAAATTGATCAGTTTTGAACTATGAAATGGCAGCATTGATGAATCATAACGTACCAATAATAAATCGACAGTAAAAATATATAAAAATTTTTAATACTGAATAATTGTGTGAAATATTTATCATTTCAAAGCATGTTACGATTACCTGCCTTCAGTCCAAATGTTGTTTGGAGATTTATTCAAATTTAATTAAATTCACCCTTAATCAACAAAACCCTTATTATGCTTAGTCTGCAAGACCCAATTTCAAGATTCCAAATTATCCAGTTGTTCCTCAAAATTTTGTTTTTAGCACCAGATGTGGTATTAGTTGCGATCCTCACATTTTTCTCCGTATCTGTTTTCAAATAAAAGGATGTTGTCACCAAATGTTATCGTCATATACTATTTTAAAAGAAATACTGTATCAAATATAAAAAAAGCGAGGAAACATAAATAAAAGAACGTTACCGCCAAATGTGATTACCATATATTAAAGAAATAAAATAGCGAATAAAAAAATCATTGGGAACACCTAACACTCTATGGGGAATTCTAGATAGGTTATTTTTAAATATTTTGTGATTTGTGCTGTTGATTTTATGTGGTGATGTTTAATACGTAAAGAAAGTTAAAAAAGTTAATAAAGTTACAGACATTAAAAAAAAAAAAAAAAAAAAAAAAAAAAAAAAAAAAAAACGCTCATCTTGTGTGACTTATCTTATTCATTAAAAAAAAAAAACATTGATATGACGAAGTAAAAAAGATATAAAAATCTATGCAACACTTAACACTCTGAAGTGTCTCATATGCAAATGTAGGAAAATAACACTTCTCTGACCCCAATAAAATCAATCTTACAACGTTAAATATACTTATTTCATAATACGTGCTTACATTTTACATGCACATGAAATCGCATGACAGAATACCGACCTTTGTTTTTCGTGGAGACAAGAAAAGGTGTTGCCATTCGGCTTTAACTAAACTTGATTAGAAACTTGACGGAACTGAAGCGACGCTACATACCCCCTTCCTAGTGACAGCGATTATGGAAGATAGTCTTTAAAGTGACTGGAGAACTTCATATGTCTGTCAGTTCTAGTAGTCTTGGTTTCATGCTGATTTTCTGAATTTTCTTCAGTGTTCTTGAGTGCAGGTGTTTTCCCAAGTTCTGCTTTCTTGGAATGGGAGTCTTGGAAATGAATATCAGAATTTTTCACTAGGAAACATAGCTTTAGTCTGTCTATTGAAACTCTTTTAACTTTTTCGTGGATTGCAATATCGAAATACTTATCCTTTCTTGCTCTTACAGGATACGGTTCAAGATAAACAGGCTCTAGTGAAGAATTATTAATGTTGTTGTATGGGAATACGTGAGAACAGTTGGAAAGATGTTTAGAAACAAAGACTGTTCTATTTCCATGGGTGATGGTAGGACTTAGCTAAGGTTTTGAGAAAATTCAGACTGTTTCATATGAAGTACTGTTGAAAAGAATTCTCCTGGTAATGCAAAAGTGGTTCCGTATACAAGTTCTGTGGATGAGCAACATAAATCTTCCTTGACGGCAGATCTTATGCCTAAAAGAATGAAAGGCAATGCTTCCAGTTATGATTTTAATTCGAGTAGATGACATTTTAGGCTTGCTTTTAAAGTTCGGTTTTGTCTTTCGATCAGGTCATTTGCCTGTGGATGGTACGCAGTTGTAGTGTTTGTATGAAAACCAAGACATTTTCCTAAAGTTAGAAAAAGTTGGCTATCAAACTGCCGACCTAATTGTTATGCAATTCGGAATTCCAAAGCGTGAAAACCAAGTATAAATCAAAGTTTTAGCAATAGATTCTGCTGATTGATCTTCTAACGGCACCGCTTCGATCCATCGTGTATAACGATCGATGATGGTTAGAAGATATTTGAATCCTTTACAAGGAGGTAGCGGACCAACCAGATCTATGTTTAAATGCTGGAATCTGTGTAGAGGTACTTTGAATTCTCCCAAAGATGAATGTGTATGTCTGTGAACTTTAGATCTTTGGCAGGATAAACATGCTCTAGTCCATAGTTGGCAGTCTTTATTCATATTGGACCATATGAAACGTTGTGTTATCAATTTTATCGGAGATCTTATTCCAAGATGAGATAAATTATGGACTGACGAAAATATTTTCTGCTGAAATTTCGCAGGGATGTATGGTCGATTATAATTTGTAGAAGTATCATAGTAAATTTTCTTGTCGCTGTCTGGTATAGGGGATCTGTAGGATTTTTAAGTTTGGGTTGCTTTTCAGTGTCTCCAAATCTTCATCTTCTTGACAGTCTACTATAGTTTGTAACTCTATGGCAGATGAGTAGGTAGAAAATGTCACTTTGGAGCCATGAGATGCTGAGGTGCTCACGGAGGGGGATTTACAGAGGAGCACGTGGGGTTGCTACATCATCAACCCTGTGGCTCAAGCCATGGCCGACTACAGGAACGGCCACGGAAGCTCTGGCGTGACGTCACAACCTCCGTTTATATTCGACGATTTCAACCCGATGATCGAATTTCCATCGTCGCAAAACATAATAAAATATGCTTTCTTATATCACATTTGAAATGCCTTATATACCTAATATGCAGTTATTTTACCTTTGGGATCATATTATTTATGCCTAATTTAGAAAATTAAAAAAAATTACAATTTAAAATGCAAAAAATAATTGACCAAATAGTGTAAATAATATTATCGACTTTCGTAGAAGTTTCTCTTACATAGTGTGTGATTAATTAAATATCGCGCACTCCTTCATGTATGCTTTCATCATTTATAAATTTATATTTTCAAAGGATTAAATATTAAAAAATAATTAAAAAAATTATTTGTAATAATATGTTCTTAAATGAGCTTTGCATAACATGCGCAGAAATGATCCTTTCATGGAGCAAGAAAATTTCACAAATTAACAAAACACAAATAAAAAGGAGAATTTTTTATTTTAATCAAAAGATCAATTATCTTGCAGAAGAATTTCATAATAGTATTGGAAGAGTTTAAAAATTAGGAAATATAAGAATTCAGAAAAAAAAAAAAAAATAATAGAATGATATAAAGGAAAGTGTATAATAAATTACACAACAGGAAAAAAAATTATCTTGCAGCTTCAGATACATTGATTTTATAATAAAATGTTTTTTACTTAGTTTTAGTTATAGCATGCTATTATTATATAAGTAATTTACCTTCATAATAAAAAATAAGCAAGTAATCAATTTCCTAGTTTCATTTTCCAATAAACAAACTTAAGCCAAACATCTGAATGTTAGACACACTGCCTGAAGATATTCTCATGCCTTTGATATGTAACTATATTTTAAATGCTGCCAACAGCATAAAACAATTAAATTATACGACAACACTCATATAAACCAAACATTTTAATATTAAACACTGAGTTTTAAAATATTCTAATTTAAATCAGAAACCCCAACATTATTTTTATGGTTTGAAACAATTTCAAGGCAAAAATTTCAAACATCCAACATTTACCACAAACACAAACATTTTTTACATTACCTATACACACATTCGTAACATACAAGCATCTAGGTTAGAAAATTATAAATAGGTAGGTATTTTCTTTTCTGATGTCCTTTTCAGAAACAATATGCAAGGGTAGATTCACATAAACTAAACTTAATGCCATTAATGAATATCCAAAACGAAACTACAGAACTCCCAGAATATATCAGATTGAAACTGTGATAAAATTTACATAAATCATATACTTAAACATGTAAAATATATTTGAAAAGAACTTTGTTGATTTAAACAAATAACCACATCATTGTTTTAAATGCTATAAAGGGATTAAATATCGAAATTTTACAAAAATCATAAAAAACATTTTATAATAATTCTATTTACATCCAAAGTATCTTATTACCTATGTCAAAAATATACCATCATGATCATAAATAAGGAGAATATTAGTTTTCTGAATTTATTTTCAGAACTGTAATTGTTATGATTAGACTCATATAGACCAAATTTTAACAATAACTACATTATTTGAAACAGCATGAATGGCATTAAAAAATTTCCAAAAGATTTTCTTCAATACAGCAAAAACCATGAAACACTCATCAAATCAGAATCAAATTTATTATTAAATTCACATAAATCTTCCATTTGAACATAGCACAATACAATTTTAAAAGGACCTGTTTGATTTAAGTAACTAACCATTAGCAGCGTCTTTAAATGCCTTTTATACCAATTTTTTCAGAATCATAAAACACTTTTTTTATGATAATTCTATTATTACCTACATTAGAAATATACTATTATGTTTATAAATAAGAAGCATAGTAAGCCTTTTTTATTTTCAGAATCTTAACAATAAGCACACTACTTTAAAGAATGTTAATTCCAATAACCCAATTTACAAAGCATTTTCTTCAGTACAGCAAAAACCATGAAACACTCATAAAATTTATGATTGAATTCACATAAATCATACATTTAAATATAACACACACAGCATGAAAATAACCTAATTAATTTAAGAGAATATCTGCAGCAGTGTTTTACAACAAAGGCCTTAAATATCCAAATTTTACCAGAATCGCAAAACAATTTTTTTACGTTAATTCTATTAACCTTCAAAAGTTCTTATTACCTATATTAGAAATACATCTTAATGAATATAAATAAGTAAGCAATCATTTTTTACTTCACTCTTATGCAAATAAATAAAATTCTTATTAATAAACATTTTAACCTACAAATATACTATTTTGGGAGATTTTACTACCATAAAGTTGTAACAAAAGGACTCTTTGGAGTAGTGAAAAGTGTTTTAAACATAAGGATTACATAATAATTATATATATGATTAAGTTGGCAATAACAATTATTTTAAAGTTAGATAAATAAATTTGAAAAGGGTTTAAGCAAACATCTGCAATTAAGTACTTTTTCCTTGTGATGCCCTTAAATACCCTGATTTTTTATTTGAATTATGATGTTTTATTTTATAAGACAAATAACAAGATGGTAAAATAATTCTTAAATATTGATTATAAATTGCTATGATAATAAAAATTGCTTTTCACCGATTCTTGAACTTTTTCAGTTTTCTTTCCTCATTTCTTTCAAGGGACTTTAAAGAAATGTTTTTTACATAATTGTTCAAACAAATATTAAGAAAAGTCTTGACGACACTCATGATTATTATTTCATATGGCAAATGACATTCACAGCATCTCTCACTAAACACACTACATCATTCATTTTGAGATGAGCCTCAGTTATTTTTGTAAGAAGCTGGTGTTGTTTTCCATTTGTTGTGGATATAAAATGCTTCTCATATTTTTCAGATATAATAGTTTGGAAAAGTAAATATACAGTTGATATCAACAACACCATATTTTCTGTCGGGTATTTTAAACCTCCTCGATTTACAATATCAATATATGCATAATTTGTTTCCGCTAATGTACCATCACAAGTTTCGACTAATAATTCTTTGTCCAAGACGCAGAAATCTATCCAAGCACTGCAGTTAGTTTTAATATTTCTTGTGCAGTAACCAGCAATGTATGTGAGAACTTCTGCATCAGTGTCCGAAACTGCAGCCAATTCTACACCATTGCAAATAATTTCATTAAAAGGTGTAAGATCAACATCTTTACTCATTTCTTTAATGTCTGAAAATT